ATCATTAGCGTTGGGCTTAAGAAATTGTGTTATTTCTACACAAAACTCACAGACATGTTGACTACAATGTATTGCGTGTTTACACATGTCTGTGTGTGAGTGTGTGTGTGTGTATGGAGAGTAAGTGTTGCTGGAAAGTTTTCGCCCCAGCCAATTAAATCCCCTCATTGATGCAATCGACACCCGGCCGAACTCTGCTGTCCATTGGCCAAGTGTACAACAGCAGCAGAAACCGGGTGGCAGACAGGTAGGTGAAGCAGGCATTCAGTGTAAGAAAAGGTACAAGGTGTGTTTTAAGCGTCAATTTTTCCATACAACAACCAAAGCAGTTGCCAGTTTCTACTACAGCTCGAATTCTGATCGGAATATTTTTGATATGAAAATAGTAGCCTCTAAAAATAATCCATCAACCTTTCGTAGTACTTCACGAGAATTGACAAGGTGGTTTTCCATGTAGAAAAATGTAGAATGCAGATGGGTCAAAACTAGACAAGAGGGTCGGAACATTGTCTATTCAAAAGAGATTCGCATGAATAAGTGCTTGCAGCTACCGGATCAATGTGCTGTATTCTCCAAATCGAACTGACAGTGGGATTGTCAGTTGTCTGGAACACTTTCTCGGGTAACCAGATAGCACTAAGAGCACGAGGAAACGAAAAAACTTGCCGCAGGTCTCTGCAGCTGATATGCCTGCCGACACATAATTATGAGGTAGGGTCTAACGTACCATCTATATATGAATTGCGCTCAAAAATAACGAGAATTTAAAACGTTTAACAAAACAGTTATTTATTCGTCTACATTGATGTTGTTGCCTTCAAATAAGCTCCCAATCCCCGAAACACTTCTGAAACTTGATCTTTGAGATGAGATTTAGTTTTTTCAATCATGCGCTTTGAATATCATCGTCAAAATAGGAAAACGTCACACGGTGTTAAACAGTCGGACGAATATGAAAGCTGAGTCTTCGTAACAGTATGGTTATGACCAAAAATTTACGAACAGCCGCAACAAAAGTGTGAGGAGGTACAAAATGAGGCTAAATTCATGAGCTGTTTTTTTTAATTTTTCTTTTCTTGTTGAGCCTTTATCGCTCTCGTGGAACCAGGGTATCTCCTCTGCCACGGCACTCATGTTTCGTAACATGTTATAATAAATTTTTCATTGACTTCAGGCAGTGAATTCTAAATAACTTCCATTCGTCGCTATTTTTCTTCAATTTTGGTACAAATTTTGCTGCAAAACGTCATTGACATGACCCAATTGAAATGCCAATATTTTCAGCGACATATCCAATTCCTTAGGAAATGTTGTAATAGCAACTTAATGAAACAAACTGTATTTGTATATATGTTAGATGCTTTCTGTGTCCCTTGAACATTTCTTAGTCAGATTCCGACTCTTCTGTTTTCTAATTCTGCAACTACCCAACTCACGTACCAGCCGTCCATAGCGATCTATCTAATGAGAGCGCCTGTAAACATAGAGTTGTCACCGCTTGCCCATGCCGTTAGTGACGGTTGTCCCGCAGAAACCAACGGCGATTTGATTTTTTCCGTAAAACCGGCTCGGCTCATTTCTCGTTGCTATACAAGGTTGTCAGTATAGTCTTCCTTAAAGTAATATTAAATAATCGAAGATAATGCGTAGTTTTATTCAAAAGAAATGAAATATAAATACGTAACTAATTATTTGTTAGCGATTAGATTATGTATATTTACCTTGTGTTTGTGTTCAAGCAAATAAATTATGAAATTTGTTGACGAAAATTATGAATTTGTTCAAAAGTGTGCAAACACACTGGCAGCTGGCAACATTTCGCTGCTCTCAGCAGTGTCGATGACTCGTGTATGCATCTCGCCTTGACGTCGCCTGTTATGGACGGATGGTAAGTAAAATGGGTAGTTGCAGCATAACTCTACCAAAAAAACTCAGAGCGGAAAATCGTGCTCTGGGCTGTTCTATTTCTGCTTAGAGTAGGCTCATGAAATATAAATAGAGCATAGAAGAACAAAAAAGTTGTCATGAAACATCATTTTTTGAAAGAAAGTAACCAGGAGTTATGAAAAGACGGGCAAACTTGCAAGAAAGACACTCTCAGCATCATGAAATAATTTACATTCTTCATCTGCAATCGAGAGAGAATAACAGACTTATTCGTGGTAGATGCTAACATAATGTGAAAGGGATGATGTGGCAGAGATGGGATAAAATATCACTTGAGTTCTTTTCTTGCTGAAAGGAAATGGGTTATCCACAAATATTAGTCTTCTTGAAGGACAACTTCTGCTGACTAGTCACGTTAGCGAATTCTATAGAAGTTTAGATAAAAGGTTTTGACTTCTAGATGCCAGCTCAAGAGATGTCCAGTGGCATCACCGTTTGGTATGTCAAGTGAGCTGCTGCCCAGTAAGCTATCCTAACCTAACGGTGTGAAATTAAAAGAATTCCCGTAGAAAGTCTTCATAGAGTTTTTTTTCGACTACGTTTTGCAGCAATTGGGGCCTGACGGCAGTAATAATGCGCCAAATATTCTATTCCAAGACACTTATCTGCATAGACAAATGGCTTCACATAACCCCAAAAAACTAGTGCAGCGGTGTTGAATCATGCGATTTTGGAAGACACGTACGTCAGAGGCCAAATGTGCTCACCAAATGTTTCCATCAATATATTGACTTTTTTCGTGAGCCATATGGCATGTAGTGAAGGTTTGGTGGAACTAAATGTCGTACAGTGGCTTCTTAAAGATTTAAAGGCATCCCAACAATGGTTTGTGGATTATCATCACCCCAATTGTGACAATTTTTTTTCTGTTAAAAATCGGGATCGGTGGACATCTCGTTCTGAACACATTCACCGAACATGCGACGCGCTAGATGGTCGTTCGACTTCAATTTATTCGAGTTGTCCTCCATACTCGGCTCCACAGCAGAAATAGCATTTTCGATGCGAAAGTGGTACAAAACCGATTCATGGTTGCTTGAACTGCCGACTCTGCTGAAGAATTGTGTTGACCGAATATTGGACGCAGTTCGAGTTACGCCACTCGAATCGAAACATTATTTTCGTAATAAAATTTGTAAGCATTGTTCCGGAGTCTTTTCAGTATGAAATTACAAACCAACTTGAGAATAAATCAAGTAAGCAACTGTCAAAAACACCAACTGCGAAAAAAGTATTTCCTCATTGAAAACCATACAAAAACACTATTTATAACTTGGACTTTGTAAAAATTTGTTAAAAGAAAGGTTCGAGTCTTGGTCCAACCCCAACATCCAAAATTTTATAAAATGAATTTAAATAAAATATTACACTAAATTGTCTCATTGCGGTCGCTTCTCAGTAGGGAAGGTCAAGCCGTCCGAGTGTGTTTCGGACATGAAATAAAGGCTCCTCATAAAAAAACCATCAGCCATTCGGAGAGGCGGCTTAGTGTAAACTGTAAGTCCCTACATTTCTTGGAAAAACAACATCTGATTTCAGCGGTTACAAAGCACCTATTATATATGTATCATATATACACATCCAGAAAAGAACTTTCAATAAATTTTATTCCCAGCTCGATTTTTTATAACCTCCTAATTAAGATGTGTTTCCTAAAAAGCGGTTAAAAGATGTACCTAAGTGAAATAAAAACTGTGGAAATATACATAAATATCATAAAATTTCCCGAAAAAAATTTTGTAAAGCAATTTAACCTGCTTTTTCCCAGCTAAAAGTTTAAGTTTCGAGCCTTACAAAAAAAAAGAAAAAAAGAATAGCAGTTCGGCCTTCCGATTTGATTGCCATTAGAGGGATAAAGGATCTAGAAAGTAACTTTTGGAATAATTTTGTTATGCATTCTAGAAAGAAAAGCCTTAGTCCCTAGAAAATATAAACAGATATCGGCAACAATTTTTGTTCATTGACCTTGTTGATTAAAGATTGAATAATTTTTATTAAAATTTTACGAAATATACGTCACGGAATAAAACTCCGGAAGCGAACGTTTTGACCATCACTTCAAGAAACCAGCTCTTATACTTATGAGTGATTCATCAAAGAGGCTCAGAAAACTCTATAAATATATTTACTCATATACCGACATTTTTAAGAAGAAATTTTAACCCAAAAAAACATATTTGCTTTTCATAGAACACCCCTTATGCCAAATACATCCACACCCTAAGAACGTCAAGAGAACTTCTTTGTTGTTACAAGCTGGCAAGTAGTACAACGCTGTATATAAGTATATAGTTTCATAGCTCTGAGTTGTGGGTGTGAATTAGCGGAGCGCGCCTAATACCACAACGATAACAGCACTAATACGAAAAACAAAAACAACGCAACCAACAACACCGTCAACAAATCGGATTTGGGCGAGTAATTGGCAAAAAGAAAGAAGCAGACACAGACAAAAGAACCGCGGTAGACGGCTATTAAAGCGTAAAGGTGAAAAGAAGAAGAGAATTAGTGATTGGAGGTGTGTTAAAAAGAGGGCAAGCGATGATTGTATGTATGTGCGCGTGTGTGTGTGTGTGTGTGTGTATGAAATATTAACAAACAATGTGGGCGGGAGCAAACTAAAAAGACCACGCGTAGAACACAACTTGGCTTCCACAATAATGGTAAATGTATTGCTTTAGCATTTGTTAATTTGTGCACTTACACAGTCACACATACATACGAATACATGTGTACATTGATAGCCTACTCATAGGCTTATTGATCGGTTCTTGTAGGTGAACGCATTTTATGTTACTCATACGCAGTGTAGCGCTGGTAGGCGAACGTTAATTTGCAGTGTCATTAATTAGGGCTGTCAGTTGCATGTCAAACATATACTTAGTATTCTTACATTTAGCATTTTAGCTCGACACATGCACAAACGTACACACTCACAAATTTTATTTGAGCCGATGCCTATGCGTTTTTCCTCATTTCCTGTGTCGGTCGCCGCATACCCCCTTAGCATCTTAATTTTTCTTCCATACATTTTGCACTCATTCTGCACTTACCTCATCGATAAATTCAAAGTCGCCGCCATTTTCACCAACGTATTTCTTCTTTTTAGCCTCAGCGCCACTCAGACCGGATGACATCAACACCAGACAAATGGTGGTAATCAAAAATAAACACCTCATTTTTTTTTTGCTTTTCTCTCTTTCTTGCTTTCAGCCAAGTTCTTCACAATAACAAAGATACGAAATTTGTATCGTTTTTTATTTCTGTTAATTTTTTTTTTTTTTTTGTAATTTCACTTTTTGTGATTTTTTATTTGTGGAATTCCTTCAAAGTCCTTCGCTGCTGCGTGCTTTAATGACCTGTATAATTTACATTAATAATTTCCGTTTCCTTTGAAAAACAAAAGTTATGAGTTCACACAGTAAGAATTTTCAGTTTTCAAAATTATTTGATTTTATTTCGATTTATTTATTGTCGCTTTTTTTCGTTAAATACAATGTAATTTTCTCTTCGTAATTATAGCAGGGAGGGATTTTCTTTCGTATTTGTTATTGTCTGCGAAGGCAGGAAAAAATTATACACATACACATACACACACAAAAACACAAAGACGGCAATATAACTGTAAATGCAGCAGCTGGAAATGCGTGCGCAAAGGAGTAGCAAAAAAATACTTATACTCAAAATTCATTATTTTCGCTCTCCACCCGCTTTCGCATTCGCAATTTGTGCCGTTACAGTTACAGTTACATTCAGTGTGCCGAGTAACAGTCATTAACAGTTCAGAAAATCATTCTCGAGATTCCCTAACATTTATTGATATGTTCATTCGTGTGCGAGTGTGGGTGGGTGTGTGTGTGTGTGTGTGTGTGTAAGTGAATTTTCCTTCTCCCCTCTTCATCACTATTTAATAACCTAATTATGCACCCGTCACGTCTGCTCTATTGTAATTTTACTTTTCTAATACTTTAAGTAAGCACAAAGCACACACGCGTAGAAGTATACATATATACAATATATAAAGTTATAAACAGCTACGCACACTGTGCACTTTTTTGGTCTCTGCTAAGCTATGCTATGCTCTATGCCTTTGTTATTTTATTATTATGAAGTTGTGAAAATCCTTTTTCATCCGCTTTACAATTTACAATACTTTTAGTCACCGCCGCGTCCGAATGTAAACTGAATTGGTTGCTGCCTTTTGGAATGCGCGATGATGTCCTCCAACTTGGTTTTTCGAGTGAAAATCTCGCTTGCAAGGCGCATGCGGTTTGTGTATGAGAGAGTATTAAATGCTTTGCGGTAACAATCTCTTCGAATGCAGCAAGAGAGTGCAATGTCAAATAGTCAATAAATCGTATGAAGAGGTCCAAAGGAAATTGAAGTAACCGAGTGATTTTTGGTATGCTCATAAGGCAGCTATGCGGCTGCCGAATCACTTTTGGTCACCTTTTTGTGGGAATTATTTAAGACCTACTAAGTGGAAATACATTTTTACTGATGTCAATTGTCTGCTTACCAAAATCAATTCACATCGGAATTTCTTCTCCAACTCATTCAATGCTTGGATCATGCGAACAATGTTTACTTCAATAGTAGTCTCTCCCACACCCCTACTTAGGCGAAAGTTACTCTAGGAGTCAACGACTACTCCAATAATTTTTTTTTTGACGCTTGACACGTATAGCAATAATATAGAAATAGACGTGAGTAAGTTGTTGGATTACCTCCTCAGTTACTGTCCGGTCTAGACTCGTTAAGTGACATCTACTGTTGTTGTAGAGAAAATACCAAAATTGGAAATCAAAATTCTTTTAAATTTAATACTTGCTTTTCGGAGCCGCTACCTAGGTTATTTCGGTATGAGCTAAACCTCAACAGAGTACAACATCACAAAATGAATTTTTAAGGAAAGGGACATAGGCCGATACTCTTTAATTCATGAGCACAGATATCCAGCTGGTAAAAACTGCACAGCCGAATGCCTAGTCAATTACCGAGGTCAGGAATTAAAGCGGAATGGCCGTGAAAGTGAAACACCTGGAGATGTTGAGCTTATTTTCTTTATCGGTGACGATAAAATACACATTCCATTGCCCAAATAGCAAATTGCCGGTCTGAAGAACAACAAAGCGGCGAGAGCCGTTGGTTTCCTAGCTAAGCTATACAGATAAGATGGTGAAAAATACAGCAGATTCTGCTCTGCAAAACTTTGTTCGATGAGTGCATGCCTGAAGTGTGCTCTGCCAAATCCAGAAAAAGGGGGTTTAAGATTCCTCAATATTGCGTATGAAGTTCTTTCGATCGTAATGTGTGAAATATTAAATCTCGCCTAACCGTGCGTTAACCAAATCAGGTTTTAGACAGGGAAAATTCTTACCATTTGGTTTCTTTTATAATACGATCTGCCGAGTTAAACCGAGAACGTATAATTTTCTGGCGTTCACCGGTGGTAATGATATAATTGGTCTCAAAAACTTCACCGTTACTGAGAGTAACGAGTTGGGTGAATAATATCTGTTGTTATCAAACAAACAACCAGCCCTTTCGCCATTGGGCTCCTACGTTACTGTTATAACTTTGAAGCCATAGATAGCATCCTCTATCTCGGAGCCAGCATTGAAACCAATAAAGATGTTAGCCATTAAATCCAACCCATTTGGGAAGTAAAGTCCTCTCTTGACAAACAAAGACCAAACGTGCTCATCATTCCGCGCCTGCTGTATAGTACGAACTCCTGGACGATGATAACATCTGACACTAGAAGTTTTCTTTGGCATTGGAAGCGGTATCTATTTCTTAAGGATGAAACGATGTGCTGTGCCAGATAGATATTGGCATAGCTCAGCGCAGAATTAGCGCGAGTCCGACTCAAATCGAAGTCAAAACTTCTGTAGAGTCACGATGACAGGTTCTTTCAATGACGTAATGATGTCGTTTCCAACTGTATTTATTTTACATAGCAATCGTTTATAGAGTTGAGTACATTTTGCATCTAAAGACATCTTTTCGTTACACTGTTTGAAGTGGTGACACCGAATCTAAGTATTTGTGTTTGATCATAAAACATAACTGCATCATTATCAACTTACGTATGTATATTTTTACAGCTCATTGTTTCAACATTCAACAAACCACTACTCTCGAGAACTCTTAATGCCATTTCATTGTCTCTTATTGACAGGAGGGATGTTGATCTCCTATGGATTTTTAGATTTTGTCAAGTCCTCTCCACTAAATGTGATTAGCTCAGGCCGCAACCCATTGACTTCCATTACTTTATTCGGAGAAATGTCTAGTTCATTATCAACCATCGGGGGTTTGTATACAGTTTCACCGAACATTCCATATAAGCTGCTAATTCATTATTCATAGTGGCTCTTCTTCATATAGAAATATACCACAGTCCCAAAACCACATTTAAATTATTCCCAGGTGAGAGTACGAAGAGGGATGAACAATGAAACGCCGTTCCCCAGTTCCCTTACATCGAGTTGTTGTCGAGTGCTTACAGAAAGCAAAAGTACTCCATTTCGTACCTTCTGGGATGTACGAACCATTTTGTGTGTCTTATGAACGATACAATACTACTTATACTAGTCGCTGCTACGCCAGCCAGGCAGTCAAAGGCAAGTAGGACAAAAATCGTTCGAAAAGTATCCCATTCCCCTACTGTGAAATCCCATTAAACAGTGTCTAGTTAGTATCCCCGGAGCTGAATTAATAGTGAACCAGTTTAGGCGGATTAAATTTTCTTGATCCTTTAGCGTTCAGCACAGGTTAAAGCAGTTTAACGTTGCAGGTTCGTTCGCTAAGCCATCTAGTTTTGGCTGTTTTGGTGAAAGCTAGCTTTAGTCCAAGTTTCCCCATAGAGAAGGGTACACTAACGACTATAATTTTGATGTAATGAAAGTATATTTAAGATTTTTAATGGCAGCTTGGCTATCCGAGTATGTATTGATTGATTGGTTTGTAACCAGATATTCCAGGAACCATTCTGCGGATCCCGCGATTTCAATAAGTTTTGCTTGGAAGACGCTGGTAGCCTTAAATTGAAATTGGTTGAAAACGTTGGTGAGTGAGTTCCACAGCCTACCCTTTCATCGAGTTAACAGCCATCCGCGAAGACAACTATGTCACTCTGATCCAGAGCATTTAATATTAAAATTGGGTTTTACGAGTGCTGACCATGAGACGGGCTGATTGTAGAATATAATGGGTCTTACTAACCGTTCTACTGTCTTCGGTTTTCGCTGGATTGAAATCTAGACCGCATACCCTGCATCCCAATGGCATCCTACTTTATTTAGAGCATTTTTGGGTAAATCTCTTGCTTGCCTGTCGCTGTTAGTTGCCGAATAAGCGTGTTAATGGGAGGTACCATAGCAGTGAAGATAAGACTCCCCTTGAGGGGTGGAAAGATATCAGTGTACAAGTCGAATTTTCTGACTATTCCCCGCCTTGATTTTAAAATTTCCGGATATAATTTTGTGTACTGTGCCGGACGGAGTGTTCATACATAGCAAGCGTTCGTAGATGCTATGGGGTACCAAATCTGTAGTTAAGTAACGCGTCTTTGATAAAAATTCGCTTTTCATCCGTTGGTGGGCGTAGCAATCAAAATTAAAACCTTGGGCCGCCAGCATAAGGTCTTTTTTTTATGAATAACTTATTTGAAACAATAAACGGTATAAAGTTTTTCTAAGTGTATGCTATCCAAGTATCGTATTACAAATCCCGTAAATGCGCATGCTTAGAAATCCATCTAATTACACTACACATTTTTCTACTCTTATACAGAGAGCTACTCAGTCACCCTTCCTACTCGACCATATTACTAAGCGCAAATAGAGGACACTTTAGCACATCCAACACCCCTCGAATACGGTCCGAGGCAGAAATAGTCGAAACTACAGCTAAACAAAACAGCATACCACTACATGGATACAACACCACAACCATCACCATCGCCGCCACGGCTTACTCTGAGATATTTGTTTGTACAATATGAACGGTATGTAGCATCACATTGTTACAACAATTTGAGCATGAAGTAGAATACAAAAGAAGGCGCAACCAAAATCGATTTTCGCTTTGCGTGTGCGACCTCCATCTACCCAAATACAAAATAATTCTGGTGTGTCTGCGCTCTGAGGATGCGAGCAGCGCCTTGGAGTCGCTATTCCTACGTGCCGTCTCAACTTCTCTCATCTACACACTTGGTAACATTGCTCCGAATCGAACTATTACCTGCTCAGCTGACATGTCAGGCAATTTAAGGCACCGTTAAATGAGCGCGTCAAAATGGAAATGACTTTTGTGCCTATTAAGCTGGTCACCTCCACTGAACCGAAGACAATTTTCAATTCTATTGCTTTTTCTTTGTTGCCATCCCTTTTTGCTTTCAAGGCACTCGTTGAACCCACTGTCAACATATCACCTACGTTAAGTATGTGATTGTGTTTGCAGGGTTGCTGGGTTGCCGGGTTGTAGCGGTGAGCGAGCTCGTTGTAGGTGTAAAAGTAAAAGAAAGCACAAAGAAATCCCTGCAGCCCAGTTTGCGCCATGGACTTAGCTTTTGTGTCAACATTAACGAAATGAAAGGCAGCTGGGACGACGGCACAACTTAATTCTCGCCTACTGTGCTTTGGTGATTGAGTTTTCGGTTAGAGCAGGTGTTGGTTGCACGTAGATACAAAGCAGTCTTTCGGATTTGGTAGTAGCGTGTATGCAAAACAGCAACAACAACGTTGTATTGTTGGACTAAATTTGTGTGCACATCATTGAATTGCACACTCCATCGCTCAACACCCATAAGCAGGCAGTGAGCACCTACCCCACCCCGGCCAAAATGATTCCCAACGTGATTTTCATTGTGCTCAAGTCAACCCTCGCCTACTACCTCCGCTACAACACTGTGCTCGTATGTGTGTATTGTTGCTTGCCAAAAAAGGTTGGTGTTATTGCTAGTGTTGTTGTTGTTCTGCTCACTCGTTGGCAATGGGAAATGTGCCATTTAGAATTTTTCGACACTTTTATGGAATTTTTTGGCCATCCAACACGTTTTATCGGCATGCCAGTGCATTAACGACGGAATGAGTTGTCAAGCAGCCAGGCATCGAGCTTGGTGCGAATACACATGTATGTGTTGCCGAACTCAACCAAGTTGCCAGTCAG